GTGTGGGACGGGTGGGTGAGGCGGGCATCGTCCTGGGCCGAGAGCCTACACACCCGCACAACAACGGGCTGCTCGACCTGCCGGCGGCAGGGCGGGGTGGTAAACGGCAGAGGCACTGGGCGGGGGCGGAGGGGTCGCGGCGTTGCGACGGTCCGGGTTTCCCCACCTGCGTTGTCCCCTGCTTTTGTCCGCTCTCCCGATGCCCTGGAGTGCATGGGACGACGGCGGGGACGTTCCCAGGTATGCAGATGATCCGCGCCTCTGTGGGGCCTCTCTTCGCGCGTTCGGCGAAGACGCGCGGCAGGGCCCGCAGAGGGTGCGGGCTACAATTGCCGCACCCGGAGGCCGGCATATTCGCGCGGCCGCCGACAGAAGGGGGCGGGGTTCTGGCGATTTCTAGCAGCATCGCGCCCCCGAGCGAGCCGCTCCCAGTGCCAGCTCCATCGGGTGGTCCTGCCCTTGCCGGCATTTTGCAACATCACCGCGCGGGTGTGGGGGGGGGGGGGGGGGGGGGTGAGCGGAGGAGGGGGATGACTGGCGCGGCGCCAGGGCGCCCCCCACCCCGCCTCTCCGGCGCCCAAGCACCCAGGCAACCGGCCGGGGGCCTGGCTGGCGTGCGCCGCCCACGGCCGGGACGCCGGGGAGGTGGTGGCCGGATACAACGGTCGGAAAAAAGAGTTGCCCCCCTGCGCGCGGGCGGTCGAACAAGAGCGGGCGTTACAAATACTCACGCTCTGTTGCTTGCTGCGCGGACCAACGGCCCAGGCTCTGTGGCGGCGGCGGCGGCGGCGGCGGCCAGGCAGAATGGTCCTCTGGGGCACGCACTTTCGCGCCCGGCGCGGCTCCGGGTGAAGGGGAGGGCACGAGAGGATGGGGCAGGGCAGGGCAGGGCAGGGCAGGGCCGGGCGGCTGGGAGGCAGGCTTCCTGGCGATCCGCGACCAGCCAGCCGGCCAGCCAGCCAGCCAGCCAGCCAGCCAGCCAGCCATTGACCGGCTGACCGGGGCCATTGGTGGAGAGGGTCTCCCACGCGCACGTTCGGCCGTCCCGCGCGACTCGTGGGCCGCGGCCCCCCCCCCCCCCCCCCCCCCTCACCCGCCCTGGTAGCAGCTCTGCACACGAGCACATACCCACACCGAGGGCCCTGTCCGAGTGGTGATCGCGGTCGCCATTGCTCCCCCACCACGCCCCGCTCGCCCCCGAGCCGGGGGGAGACAGCACGGCACCCTCTTCCTCCCGGCCGGTCGCGCGTCAGTCCTGGCCGCCCGCCAATCTCAATGTGGCGCCCCGATCCCCAGCCGCGGGCGCGTGTACGCGCACCCGCGAGCCCGGGTTGCCCTCGCAGGTTCCCCCCCGCCCCAGGCATGCCGTTGGCGCGGGGCCGTCGCGCACGCCACTCCCCCGGCCGCCGTCCCCCACCCCCCGGTCGGCGTGCATTTGTTCCCCCAATCGTAACTCGGGGTGGGGGCGGGCGGGCGGGCGGGTGGGTGGGTGGGTGGGTGGGGCGGCGGCAGGGGCGGCGGCGGCGGCAGCGGCGAGAGTGGGAGTCTATTTCGGGAGGCACACCGGCAGGCCACTCCTGTGCGCGTCGGCCCACCCCTCTCCACACTTCCTGGAACCCCCTTCTCTTCGCCCTCTCCCCTGTGCAGCGCCCTCCGCAACGTCCCAGACCGCCGGTCTCCCCTCCCCTCCCTCTTCTCTCCCTCTCCCTCGCCTTCTCACGGCGTAATCCTCCCGCCATGGCCTTCAAGGTTTGTCCGCACGCCCCCTCCCTTCTTTCGGCTCCTTCGCCCGCCCTCTCCCCCCGCCTCTCGCTGCCCCTGCCACTTTTCTGCGCGTGTGCCTCTCTGTCCGTGCATCTGTCCCTGCTCGCCTCTTAACATCGACATCCATCTCCAGCAGGATCGCCCTTCCGCCGCCCCTCGTGGCCAGTGGGTCCCCTACGATGAGCTGAACAACGACAGTGCGCCTCCCCCCCCCCCCCCCCGGTGCCCTCTTCCCCTCCCCTCCTGCCCAGACTTCTTTGTTGTTGACTTTTCTCCCTCCCCCGCCCCCCTCCCCCCTCCTCGCCGTCCTGTGTCTGACCTCCCGGCTCCGGCGCGCACCCCGCCATGCAGAGTTCTCCGTCCCCATCTCCAACCGCTTCAACGCGCTGAGCGTCTCCGGCTCCGGGGCCTCTGGCCTCTCCCAGGGTCTGGATTCGGTCTTCAGCGTGGACAGCCTGCGCCAGCTCCGCGACAAGGGCGTCACCGACGCCCAGGGCTTCATCGACATCCACACGCTGCTGGACTTCGGTCCGATCGCCTCCCACAACGCCACTGCCGAGGCCATCAAGGACGCCGTCAAGGCGAACCCCTCCTTCCAGGTGGTCGATGGCAAGCTCCGCCACTCGCTCAACTGGACCCTGGTCACCCCGAGCGGGGTGCGTTCCCGAGCGCGGCTCTGTTGCTTGTTGCTGCTTGTTCTTTCTTTGTTTCGCCTCCTTTTCTCGTGTCCAAGAGAGCGGGCGAGCCCGCCTGCGTGGGGTCCCTCCCCTCTTTTAATTTCTCTTTCTGACCTCCCCCTCTTCTCCCCTGCTCGGCCTGTAGAACCCCCAGCAGTACTTCGTGCGTCCTCCCCCCCCCCCACTTGCCGGCCACCTGGCTCCGTCTCTTCTTTCTCTCTCTCTCTCCCTCTCTCCCTCTGTCCTGACACTCCCTCCCCCCCCCCTCTCTCTCTCTCTCTATCTGCCCTGGGGCCCATGTAGCCCTCCGACGACGATGACGATGGCGAGTGGCACTCGGTCAACTCGCGCCGGCGCTCGTACTCTGCCCGCGCTCACCGCCGCCCCTCGGTCGATGCCGGCCGTGCCCCCGTCATCAACTCCATCGATGAGGAGGTCTTCGACTTCGACGACCTGGACGTCCGTGATCGCTCCAACAGCCGTCGCTTCTATCAGACCGACGACGAGGAGAGCGATGGCGAGTGCGTCTCTCTTTCCCTCTTTCCCTCCTCTGGCCCCTGGCCCCGAACCTGTGTACACCTGGCTAACCGTCCCTCCACCCTTTGCAGCCCTCCCTCCGACATTGACGACGAGTTCGTGTCGAAGCTCGTGCTGGTGACCCAGCGCAGCGGCGCCTCTGCCCGCCGCAACGAGGGCTTCGACCGCACCGGTGTCCCCTACTCGCGCAAGGCCTTCAACGGTGTGTGCCCCTCCCGCCTTCCCCTCCCTCTTCCTCTTGGCCTACTTGTTGGCATCATGTGCACACGCATGTGTCCTTCTCCTCCCTGTCTCCCTGTCGCGCACCGTTCCCATCGCCAGCCCCTGGACCTAACTCCCTGCACTGGCCCGCCCGTCCACCCGGCCGTCATTCAGACGACCTCGCCGACCAGATCAACGAGGGTCTTTACGACTATGAGCGCTCTCAGAAGCGCCGCTCTCGGTGCGTCGACTCGCCATTCCCCCATGCTCCCCCCCCCGCCCCCTCCACCTCCCCTCGCGGCGACATGATGGTGACGGCCATTCGCGCCACTAACTTGCTCCTCTGCTGGTCACACACGCGCATCTTCGCAGCCGCAATCGCTCCTCCATCGCCGCCGGCCCCGGCGGTCTCAACAAGATTGAGACTGTCGATGAGGACGAGTTCCTGACCCTGAAGGGCGTCGCCCGCACCGGGACCTCCCTTCCCCGGACCGAGTCTCGCCCGGTTCCTCAGGTGGCCATCCCCACGCCGACCCCCCAGTCGACCCCGGCCACCGGGTTCACCATGCCCGGGTCCTTCAGCGGGGCGCATGTCAATGCCGCTGGCGGGATGCCGATCGCCACTGGCGGGGTGGCCGCCTCGCCGCGTACTAGCAGCCTGCTGACGGCCGGCCTGCGCACCGGGACCTCCCCGGCTCCGGGTGGTGATCTGGCCGGGCGCGAGCGCTCCACCTCCTTCAACCGCGGCACCGAGATCGGCCAGGCGCGTGCTCGCGCTGCCGCGGCCGCGGCCGCCCCGCCGTCCACCCTGGGCGGCCGGTCGGTCCGGTTCTTCCCCGTCCGCAAGAACAAGGACACCCCGCCCTCGCACCCGATCAAGCAGAAGACCGCCCACTCGTCGCAGCCCCCGCGCGAGGAGCACGTCGGCTGGATGGTCGGCCGGGAGTCCTGCCCGCCGGAGGAGGCTGTCGATGTCGGCAGCGCTCCCTCGCCCACTCCCTCTCCCTCGCGGTCTTCCTACGGCACCTCCTTCGGGTCGCTGTCGTCCTCCTTCGAGTCGCGTTCCTTCTCCGAGCACCTGAGCCCCTCCATCGGCGCGGTGACCGAGAACAACTTCGTCCAGCAGAAGTACTACAAGTACCGGTCGAAGGCCCTGCGCGAGCGCAAGCGCCTGGGCTCCGGCCTGTCGCAGGAGATGAACACCCTGATGCGCTTCTGGTCGCTCTTCCTGCGGGACCACTTCAACCGCCGCATGTACAACGAGTTCAAGCGCCTGGCCCTGGAGGATGCCGAGGCCGACTACCGCTATGGCCTGGAGTGCCTCTTCCGCTTCTTCAGCTACGGCCTGGAGAAGCGCTTCCGCGCCGACATCTTCCGTGACTTCATGGACCTGACGCTGATTGACTTCAACAATGGCCATCTCTATGGCCTGGAGAAGTTCTGGGCCTACCTGCACTACCGCCCGGACAAGGCCACCAACCCGATCACCCTGTCCCCGGAGCTGGAGAAGGTCCTGGCCGACTTCAAGACCCTCGATGACTTCCGCCTGGCCAATGCCTCGAACGGTGTGGGCCCCGGCGGCCGTCGGTCCAGCTTCCGTGGCGGCCAGCAGCAGCAGGTCCAGAGCGCCGCCTCGCGCAAGCCCCAGCATTACATGCAGCACTTTGCCAATGCCGATGCCACGGGTGGCGCCCGCTTCTCGTCCTCCTTCACCGACTCCTCGTCGGCCCTCTCCTCGTCGCTGACGCGCGCCTAAACGCGTGTGTTCGCGTGCGGCCCTCCGCCGCCCCGGTGGCGCTCGGCACTGGTGAGGAGGGGCCTCGGCGCGTGCACGCGCCGGGCGCCAGCGGCCGACACATGTCTCGGGGATTGCTCACATGCTGGCTCTGTGCCCGGGCGGCGTGTGCTCTTCCCTCCCCTCGGTGTTGGCCGCTGTGGCCGCCCAGTCCCGCTTCTCGTCCCCATCTCTTTTTACTTTGCCCTCAGGCGGTGTCTCTAGCCCGAGGAGGGCGAAGGTGTGTCGGAGTGTGTCAGACGTCGTCCGCTCTTACTGGGCGAAAGACAGCAATGGCGTAGAGAGGGTGCACCGGTGGGTGTGCGTCCGCCTCGCGTGATGCCTGCGCACGGTCCCCTGCCACATGTGCATGTTCGTTTATATTTGTTTCCCTTTACACATATCTGCATACATGCATGTGTGTGTGTGTGTATGTGTGGGTATGCCCTGCCGCCATGCGCACAAGTGTGCCCCCCCCCCCCCCCCCCCCCCGTCATGGCCTCTCTCCTCCCGGCCTTCTCTGGCGAACGGGGCAGAGGTGGGGCCGCTCACCGACGCACCACCGCGCATAGATATTACCCCACGCGAGGGAATCGGGACAGCCCTCTGTCCGTATGTCCCTTTCTCCTCTTCCTCTCTCTCTCTCTCTCTGTCTCCCTTTCTCCGCCTGTGCGTCCCCGTGTGTGTGAGTGTGTGTGTGTGTGTGGTGACTGTGAATTGTATACGCGCGGTCCCCTCCTCTTCGCACCTGCCTCCATCTCGCGCGCCCTCTTTCCTCCCTCGCGGACAACTCCTCTCCCCGGCGCCTCTTTCTCCTTTTCTTCCTTTCCCCTACCCCTCCCCCCTACCCCCTCTTGCCGCTGGTCACAGCAAAAATATACACAAAAATCAGTTCTCTCCCCTTCTCCTCCGTGTGTCTCTTCTCCCTGCACCTTGTTGGCCCCTCTTTTCCCGCGCCTCCGCCCTGTAGCCGGGACCAAAGCTCGTCCGGCGCATGTGGCACATGCGCCTTGATGGCGGCGTCCGGGCCAGGGCCTCTGACGAGTACCTGCGCTCAGTGTGGCAATGTCTATGGATGTGCACCGGCACATGGGTTTGTGTGTGTGTGTGTGTGTGTGTGTACGTCTCCAGAAAGGAGGAGGGCGGGCAGACTACAGACACGCATGGAGCTCACGAGAGGGGCAGCCAAGTGGAAAGAAGACGGGGGAGGCATGAGGGACCCATCAGACAGGCGAATCATCCGGGGCCGGGGCCGGGTGTGGCTCCGGGCTGTCGGCCACAGCGGGGCGGCTGGCCGCACGTGCCTCCGTGCGCCGGGCCCGGCTGGCCAGGCGCTTGTGCGATCGCGATTGCAGATGGACCTGCCACTCGTGCGGGCCATTGAGCACGCGGCCGGAGCAGGTGGCACAAACAAACTTCCGCCACTCGCCCGGCGGGACCAGGACCCGGTCCAACATGGGAGCGTCTGCCCGTGCAAGGGTGGAGGAGTCATCGCGCCGGCGCTTCCCCGGTCGGGCCACACCATTCAGCAGGCTGATAAACCACCCGGGCAGTGGCCGGGCAAGGTTGACCTCATCCTCCACAGGGGCCGAGCCGTCGGTGGCGGCAGACACGGAGCAGGGAGCCTCCACACCACCGAGGAAGGCTGCGCAAGGCGACCGGTACCACCACGTGAGCGTGTCAGTCAAAAGGGCAAGCACCCCCAATGGGCCCCCTCTCGGGGGGCTGCCACCACCAGCATACCAGGTGCATCGGGGCAGGGCGAGCAGCGGCGGTGGTGGCGGCGGCGGCGGCGACAGGAGGGCAAGGAGGGGGGATTGACGCACCGCGCGATACTGCCAGCGCCTCGGCCAGCACCGCATCATCCCAGCTCCGATCGCCGCGCAGCACCGGAGACACGTCCAGTGGCCAGACCAGGCACCGGGGTGATTCCACGGATGCGGGCCCCCCGTCAAGGCGGTACCCGGCCTGCGGGATCAAGCGCTTGCGGATCCATTGGAGCTGGGCCCGGATGTATGCCCGGGTGGCGGTCTTGGTCCGATCGACTGCCTCCTGCAGAAGGACGGCCTCATCCGAAGGAGCCGTGCTGGCACCGTCCGCCTCTCGCCATTGGAACCACTCGCGGAACTCCTTGTACCCGATGGCCTGCAGCACGCCGCGAGAGAAATCCCCCGGCTCGATGGCTGGCGAAGCCAAATGCCGCGCTCGCAGGGCCCGCACCTCGGCCAGAAGCCCGCGCTACGGCGGTCCGCCACCACGGTGCTGTTAGCGGGCTCATCTGCGAGGAGCGCCTGCAAAGCCGCTGCCAACCAGCAGGGCAGATCCCCCCCCCCCCCCCCCCGGGGGGGGGGGGAAAGGGGGGGAGGGGGAAAGGGAGGGGGGGGCCACGGATGGAGGGGGGGGGGGGGGGCCCCGCGGGGGGGGGGGGGGGGGGGAAGGGGGGCCCACAGGGCGGGGGGGAGGGGTTGGGGGGGGGCGGCGGGGGCACCAGACCCCGCGCGCGGTCGCCGAAAGCGGGGCAGGGGGGGGGGGGGGGGGGGCGGAGGGGGGGGGGGGGGGGGGGGGGGGGGGGGAGGACGGGGGTTAGGAGGCATGAATGCGCGTGCGTGCATGGCGGTGGTGTTAGGAGCGAGTGGGGGAGGGGAGGGGACGGAGTTGAGAGCAGGCCACTCACGCACTTCGCAGCTCGGCAAGTTCCTGAAGAACTTCCTCCGGCACGCCATCCGCATTGGGCTGGCTGTCCAAAAACAGGCAGGGAAAGAGCAGTGACTGGATGTAGTAGTGCGTTCCGCCGGCAATGATCGGCGTACGGCCGTGCGCCCGGTGTGCGGCAATCTGCAGCGCCCCGGGGGATGAAGCCCCCCCCCGCCCCGCCCCCGGTAAAGGGGACGCAAGGAAGGCGCAGGGTTAGAGGGACCGGAAAAAAAAAAGAAGAAGCAACAAGGGAAGAGGTCGTGAGCCTGGTCCCGGCAGGGGCACAGCAAAGGGGCCGGTCGAACGCACAAGCTGGTCGGCCTCATCGCGAAAGCGTAGCACACTGTACTCGTCAGCGAGCGGGCACCGGCCGGCCCAGCACTCCGGAGGCAGTGCCACGGTCCCCGAGCCGGCAGGCTCGCCTTCGGTGTCTGGCCGGTCGCATGATCCCAGCAAGTAGTGTCGCACGCCTTGGGCCTCGGCCACCGTAACGTGGTTCGTGGCCACCGGCAAAGAGCCATACACCTGTAGCGAGTCGGCGTTGATGACACTCGGCCGGGGGTCCGATTCGACAAAGCCACTAAGACCAGACAGCGGCGCCGCCGTCCCAAGCCCCGGAGCCGGGAGCCGCGTGAGGGCCAGATCCTCGACGTGCGGCTCTGGTGTGCCGGATGGAGGCGACGGGTGGAGATGCCGAGCAAGGTCGATCGCCAGCTTGGACTTCCCGACGCCGGTGACCCCAGCCACCACGATGACGCCGGCGGGGTGGCGCATACTGCGGGAGAGGGAGCAGAGGGAGAGGGAGAAAGGGGGAAGGGGGGGGGGTACGATTGGAAGGCAAGCTGCAGATGGAAAGAGGCAGAGAGAAGGATGGAGGAACAGATAGATAGAGGGTGGTGACGATGGTGTGGCGGTGTGGGGGACCGCGGGTGGGCGTGCCAGGGCGCTGCCCCAAGACCAAAAGAGGGCCGCCCTCGCTCTGCGGGCTGGCCAGAGGCCAGGCGATCTGTCGCGCGTTATGGCGGATGCGTGCCTGAGCGGGCGGCACACACTCCTGGGCCCGCCTCCCGAGGGCGCGTGCCGAAGAGTCGGCCCCATGATGCCAACGAACCCCGCCGATCTGAAACATTGCCAGGCGCGCTTGGGCACAAATAGGCACTGCTGGGCGTCTGATCCGCGAACAGCGTCCGCGTGGGCATGTTCCTAGGCGTCTCTCTCTCTCTCTCTCTCTCTCTCTCTCTCTCTCTCTCTCTCTCTCTCTCTCTCTCTCTCTCTCTCTCCTTCTTCCCCTTCTTGCGGGATGTATCCCTGGGGACGCACCGTGTGACCCCGGCCAGATCTCAGGCTCAACATGTGGCTGATACATAAATATATTGTCGCTGCTATGCACAAGGGGAGGGGGAGAGGGAGATAGGAAGGCGAAGGGCAATAGCAAGGCACCCCCGAAGAGTGCCCAACGTGTGAAGGATGGGGGGAAAGGAGCGATGGAGGGGGGGAGAAAAAGGCAGGTAGCGGAAAAGGGGACTAGGTGGCTGCGATCTGGCAACAAGGAGAGGGGCAGGGCCGACACTCCACATATGTGGAGAAGGGGCAGGAGGATCCGGCGCCTCCGCCAAGCAGGGGCCGCCCCCGCTTTCGAAGGTCGCCACGCCTGCGCCCCCTGTGGCTGCCCGGTGAACTGTCAGGCAGCGCGTAGACGCGCGCAAACGCGACCCGGCTCCCGCCACAGCACAGGGACCGCAAAAGCATACCGCACACGGCCACGTTGCCATCACTTGAAGGGATGGAATTCCACGGGCTTCGGGCGGTGAGGACCCGTTCCCCGGCTCTTGACGAACATCTCGATGTCCACGTCGGTCGAAACGGCCTGGATGCTGTTGCGCACCATCGAGGAAGACTGTCCATTGGAAGACCGCCCAGGGGGGTCTCATGTTAGAGGGCCGGCACCACGATCATCGACGAGCAAGGACGGAAAAGGGGGATGACCAGGGGGGGGGGGGGGGGGGGGGGGCACGCAGGAACGCACCTCTTCCAGGGACTGGCGCGAAGCCTGCAGCGTGTCCAGGTAGCTGTCGAGAAGCTGCTTCAGGTAGTTGATCCGGCGGATTTCCAGGTTTTGGTACTCCTGTGTGTGTGTGTGTGTGTGTGCGTGTGTGTGTGCGTGTGTTTTAACAGGCCAGCAGTAAGAGGGTGAGAGGGGGGAAGGGGAGGGGTAGGGCAAGATGACAGGCCGGGAGCAGAGTCAGTCAGCAGGCAGAGGAGACACCGCGAAAGGGAGGACATCCGCAGGCAGCACGGCCGGCCGGACCGGCCACCGACGCACCAGACTGGCGAGGTTGACGGTGTCGCCCCAGGCACGGCGCGCCTCGTTGGCTTCGTCCACCGTCCGGCGGTATTCATTGGCCGCCAGGGTGGCCTTCTTGCGCTCGGACGACTGGCTGACCGGGGCCCCGTACAGGCTGGCCCGGCTGGAAGAGGCCCCAGACGAGGGGCCAGCCCGCTCGGCGTCGGTCATGCGGCTGATGTAGGTCTTGCGAGTCTTCTCCACTTCCTGGTCGGCGGCGGCAATGCGCTTGCGATCGCGGCCGACGGCCGACTCGTAGTCGCGCAACAGACGGTTGGCCTCCACCACCGGCTCGGGATCGCCGCTACCGAGGATCTCATTGTTGAGAGCCAGTGCCAGCTTGGCATGCGCGCGTGCGGTGTTCTCCGCGTCGAACTTCACCTGATTCCAAGCGGTCTTCATGGTGCTGTCATGCCCCGGAGGAGGCAGAAGAGAGAGAGAGAGAGAGAGAGAGAGAGGGAAGAATGTCAGCGCAAGCCGAGGCAGCTCGGGGAGCATCGGCGCAAAGGGCGTACCCCTCCTCGGCCTCGCCGAGGTTGGACTTGGCCAAGCGCTCAAGCTCCTTGGCATAGCGCTCCTCGATGGCGGCGCTGTGACGCAAAAGAAGCCGACCGACGGGCAGACGAGGAAGTAGGAGGAAGGGGGAGAGGAGGGTGGTGAGGGGTGGCAGATGGGAGTCAGTCCTGTGTCAACAGGGGGAGTGATGCAGGATGATCAATGGAGGGGGCGGG